TATATATATATATATAAAATATATATATATATATATATAAAACAAACATGATAAGTTAGTGTTTGTGTTTGAAAGAGACCAAATAATTGATGTGGGCACTTACTTATTCATATGAGTTTTAAAGAAAATGATCATGAAAAAAAAAACGCTTACCCAACATGTTCGAATTCACTCCCCAAGGCACTCTTGAAGTAATCAAGAACCATGTTCTTGCTTCCGTCCTCGCCTTGAAGGAATCCGTACCCGAAAGAAAACGTCTCCTTCCACGGCAACTTGGACGAGAATCTGTCGGCGTGGGCCCCGGAATATCCGGAGACTTCTGCGGCGGATTTCCGCCGGAGAGAGAGCTTTTTCTCCAGGGGAAGCTTGAAGACGGCGTCGATCTCTTCGTACGCGGCTTTGATAAGGTCGGAGTCTATTCCATGGTTCGTGACCTGGAAAAAGCCGTGGCTTAGACACGCGGCTCTGACGAGTGAAGCCGCCTTAGCAATGGCTTCCTCGTCGCCGTTCTCGAGGCAACTCAGGTCGATGAACGGCTCGTTGAGTTCGGGCTGTTTGGTCCGTGACAGCTCGTCTTCCGGCCACACGAACTCCGCCGGCAAATCCTTCTGCTTTTGGAGAGACGACGTGTCGAAAATGATCGAATCGCTGTTTTCATCGCCCTTCTGAAGAAGATTAGGGTTGAGAAGAATTGTTGAAGAAGACATTTTTCTGAAGGTGGAGGAGATGGCGAAATGACGAGTGAGGGGTCTTTGGTAAAGCAGGAGCGCGTATATATAGTGGAACAAGAACACAAAGAAAGGGTAAATTCGGTACATTACATATATATGTATCGTTCGCGTATTTATGGAGATATACATTGTCCCATGTATCAAAAAGTGGAAAGTCTTCGCCCAAAAAAGGAAAATCCACGAATTCAATTTGCAATTTCCCCTATATTATTATTTTTAATTAGAAAACAAACCATCAAGTTTCGAGAGTATCCAAATTGTTCCCCTAATTTCATCTCCACAACCACAAGTCTCCGTCGCAAGATCTTCCCCCATTTCTGAAAAAAAAAATCATTTTTTTCTCTTTTTAATTTATATTATTATCTTTATCTCTCCCCACCCACACCACTAATTTTATAGGGTTTAATAAGGAAAAAAATCCAACAAAAAAGAGATAAATAATAGCATAAAACAGATAAACATATCATATTAAGACATAACTACTGGATACGTATTTTCGTGTATTTTTTTATTATTGTAAATACAAATTATCTACAGAAACCTAGATTTATATTCGCCTCATACGTATAATTAATAATATCGAGAGAGAGAGAGAAATTGATTGAATTTCACGTCAAATTCAAAATTTTAAAAATATATGGAAGAATTGTGAACTCCATAATACTTCAGGACCTTTATCTAAATTACTAGTGAAATTTAAATATCATACGTTATATTTTGGATGTATCTTCGCTTTGTCATTATCTCCATATGTCGCAACATGATGAGGTGGTTAAAAAAACAAGATAACTATTACAACCTTTTTTTTTTGGTATATATATAACCTTAAATGCACACACACACACACACATATATATATATATATATATATATATATCATATTCCCCTTTTAGTTTCCTTAAGCTGCAACTTTTTTTTCCGTATTTGATATATTCATAATTACTCTTGTTTTAGACAAGGTATGACGTTAATACAGTAAGAGATAATGATAAAATCTAATCCTGTTTGGGATAAAATATATGCTTTTTTAGGTAGCTATAAAGTAAAACAAAGCTTTTTAAGAAAATTTTCCCAAACATTTGTAGAAAGATTTATCTTCTAGGAACTATACCTTTTTAAGAATAATTTGGTAGATTAAATCGGCTAGATAATCCAAATTTCTAAATATTCGAAATATATGAACCTCTGGTTTATTATGATACATGTAAAGTTTAGATAATACAATCCACGATGTGTGTGGATTAGTGGTTTTAAAAAATGGTCTTATAATATATTTAATTTATAAATAAATGATGGTTTATACATTATCTAAAGTTTATAGTTAAACGAAAATGGGAAAAAAAAAATTAAGATTTCGAATACTAACCACAACTATATAAGAAAAACGAAATAGGCAAACCATGTTTTCTTTGAAGAAAAAAAAAAACAGACGACAATGTATCACCCTATACATATCTATGAATGATACGTCATTTCCCCTGCAATTTAACTTTTTTTTATAATTCAATAAGTGTTCATTTTAATCAATAAAAATATAGCAATTCAAAATTTATACGAAAAATTTGGTCATGTTTTTAAAAAGCATTCTTTTTCTTTGTCTACGGAAAGACGTTGAAAGGGACGAATAGATAGATTTAAGATTCAATAATATATTTTTTTATAATATATTGATATTTCAAATTTATTTAATATAATTCATAAATACTTATACATTGGATTTTTCGGATCTTTCATCTCATTAAAAATGTAATGTTTTTCTTTTTTATTTAAAAAATTCTTTGCATACGCAGTTACGCACTTTAGAATTTAGGATTTAGATTAATTTAACACCTTATTATTATTATTATTATTATACATTATTTTTGCTAGATTTCCTAAACCATTTGATTGCACTACATATGTGTTTGTGTTTCCACCAAACCCTTAAACCTTATTAAACGTATGAAAAGAAATAAAAAAAAATGCAATTAGTTAATTACAGAAGATTAAAAGCTTCAAATAATTGTATTTGAAGAATCTCGATACAAGTCGAAGCCCACTTGGTTAGTGGTTGGGGGAAACAGCCAAAAGAACTTATAAAAAAAAAAAATTATACAAATGAATTGAAGTATTCAAAAAAAATAAAACAGAACCCACAATTTTATTTTGTCTTTGTTCTTTGATTTTTAACAGGACAAAAGTATATGTTGTCTTCATGCAAAAGGCTTAGACCCCCCATTGCATTCTTGCATTGTTCCTACATGGCTTTGTCCTTTTGACATCTAACTTACTGAACGTCTGTGAACTGCTGTTTCCAAAGGAATCTTTTTCTGCAGATTTTTTTTTGCTATCTTTATTATATCTTTCGTGAACATCGATGCTTCCAAACGGGACACGAACAAGGTCCAAAATTGTTACATAAAAAAAGAGTACCGGTTTTATATTTTTTTTTTGGGTAAACGGAAATCCAGAATCGAGACCAAACTAATTTTGAGGACGAGAATAAGTCATGTGATTGGAATTACGTTTTCTTCTCCAATTTGAGAGTCGAATTCGGAACGAAACACATGTTTTGTATCTCCATTTAACCGGTTGAATTATCCAATTTTATAAAATCTTAACTTGTTGTAGCATCATATCATATTATCGTATGAGTTATGTATCCGACAAATCGCAAAACCATCATGTTTCTATCATGGTTAAATTTCTACCATGATTAATGATTCAATGAATTCAAATGGATAATTTAGTTTATTTAAAATAGATATAAAAAAAATTGGAAATGTAACTTTGATATAAGATGAAATTTTCATTATTCAAAACTTATAGCTTTCCTTGAATTTTTTTTCAAAGGATATTTCCTAGCGATTTTTTTTTTATAGAAACCGACAATCTAATTACTGTAAAATGGCTGCTTAGACTTTTAAACATGACATCATAATAATAATCAAACTTTGAGAAAAATGGAGTTGTTCACATGTCTCATGACCGAATATAGAAAATGTTTTTGTAAACAATGAATCATATGGGGAATAAGGTCGGTTAAAGGATTAAACCATAAAACCGAACCAAAATAATTGAACCGATCTGAATTTTATAATTAAAGGCTTTGTTGTAACATGCCTAACCCCAGTTTCCACAGTCTAAACCCTAAAACAACAACAACAACAAATAATTTGAAATTGCCCCCATCTTCATCATTTCTTTGAGCAAAACTAAAATATACAGAATGAATCATAATTAACTTAAATTCCCGCTTCCAAAACATTTTTCGAGGTACTGTTTTATATACACAATAATATCATAACAACGTTATCCTTTAGTAACCATAAAATTTAGGGAATATCCCAAAATAATACATGAATTTTTCAATTTTCACAAAATAAAACCTAAACTTTGTTTTTTTATATCAAATAATACACCAACTTCATTTTTTACTCAAAAATAAACCCGAACTTTATAATCTTTGTCATTTTTAACCATGTTGCTGATGATGTGGCGTTCCGATATCCTACGTGGCAAGTCAGCACTTTGACCGTATTTGACACATCATCGTCCACATATCACGATATCGGAACACCACGTCAACAATAAGGTTAAAAACGACAAAGATTATAAAGTTCAGATTTATTTTTGACTGAAAAATGAAGTTAGGATATTATTCGATAAAAAACAAAGTTTAGGTTTTATTTCGTGAAAATTGAAAAATTCAGGTATTATTCTGGGATTTTTCTAAAATTTATTACACACAGATGGCCTTAACTTTGACTAATTAAACAATGGCATCACATATTTCACTGATACAAGTATAGTCACAAATTTAATAACATTGATCACTAATCATAATCAGTTGGTCCAATATCATGTAAAATATTCAACAAAGTATATATAGTTACCTATGTGCGTTTGATATTAAAAGGAAATGGAAATTATGAGCAAAGAATACTCCTTTAGCAAAAAGACTATATAAAAAGAAATTCAAAACGAATTGTGAAAAAATAATGTGAATATTAAACCATGCGGCAGTAAAAATTCTTATTTTGTAAACAATATAGGGTAAAAGAATCACACGTGCGATGATGTAGCATTGCGTGAATACGTATTCAAAATATATCAGCAAGGATCTAAAAGAGTATCTAATGCGTGTACGTATTTGTAATCAAGAGAAGTTCTTGACGCGATTCAAAGAGAAGGGAATAGAAAAAGGAAAAGAAGCATATGTATGTATATATATATATATATATATATATATAAAGAAAAAAAAAAAGAAGAGACTAAACAAAAGTCTTCACCATTGTCCGACGGAATCGATCTGATCATGCTGCTCCGGGAACTGTTTCTGAATAGATTTCGGAGAAAAGGGGACGGGAAACGATTGATGATCCGGCGGAAGAAAGGGCGATGGATGGTGGTGGTGGTGGTGGGACATGTAGAGATTACCACCGCACGACATGTTATGTTGTTGATCTTGGAGCTGGTGATGGTTCTGTTGGGGAAGATGTTGCGGCGGTTGCGGGTGCTGCCTCTGCTGTTGTTTAGGGCTGTTCACCTTCTCTCCCTCGGTGTCCCTGTATTTACAGAGGTAGATCTTCAACGGCGTGACGTAATCCTCGAACCCTAGGGTGGTGATGGCCCAGATGATGTCGTCGCCGTTGATGGTCTTCCTCTTCTCTCTCTGGCACTTGTCGGAGGCTTCGCCGGTGATGAAGCTGATGAACTCGGAGACGCATTCTTGGACGGTCTCCTTGGCGTCTTTGGAGATCTTGCCGTTGCCCGGGAGGACTTTCTTCATGATCCTCCCGACGTTGGCGATGGGAAGAAACCGATCTTGCTCTTTGTTGATGCTGTTGTTGCCGTTGTTGTTTCTGAAAGAAGGGCTTCCTGGGTTTGTTTCCGCCGCTCCGGGAGACCCATTTTCAGGGCTCTCAGTCATATCCCTCTCTCTCTCTCTCTCTCTCCCGGGAGATGCAAAGTAACGTGGATGTGATCTTATGGATGTGAAGTTAAGTAGAGAGAGAGAGAGAGAGAGAGAGAGAGAGAGAGAGAGAGAGAGAGAGAGAGAGAGAGAGGGAGGCGTTAACCAAGGCAACTGAAGCGGAGATGTCTATTAATGGATTCTGAGGCCAAATTGGGAAAACTGCATGCGACTCGCTCCTTGTACCTGATTGGTTTGGTGAATGACTTTCAAAATTAATTTTGGTATGCTAGGAGCGACTGGTTGCACCCCCGCTACCACCAAACGGAGCGGTTGCGATTTCCGGCGATTGCAATCGATTGAAAAACTGACTGGTTGAACCGCAACCACCTGCAAATGCAACCAAACTTGTGTTTTCTAATCACAATTTCTAACTTGCATTTTAATAGCGGTTTCCGGTGTTTTGACAAAAAACTAAAATATCTTTATTAAAATTTATATAAAATTCGAATATATATATATATATATTTATGATGATTTTGTTTAGTGTTATGATTTGATATTATTTTTTAGTATTATATTTTAATAAAAAGATATAATAATATACTTTTTAGATTTAATAATGATTATTATTAATAATTTTTATAATAAAATTATTTTTTTATTTAAAAAAAATTAAATTGATAATATTTATATTTTAAATTTATTATTTAATTATTATAAATTTAGTAAATAATTTTTATCAAATGATACTAAAAATTTAATTAAAATTATTATAAAAAAATTATTTTAAAATAATATTTTTTTAATAATTTGTATCAAAACGCAAACATAAGCGCAACAAACCATTCACTTCTAACCGTACCTATCCGCAATCGCTGCCAACAACAACTTATCAACCATTCAGTACTTATCATTCATAATTTTTTATAATTTATATCAAAACGCAACCGCAACCGCAACGAACCATTCACTTCTAACCACACTCACTCGCAATCGCTACCAATAGCAACTTATCAATCAGTCAGTACTTATCAATGTTATCATTCATAATCGCTATCAAACGTTTTGAAAACGCCGTCACCCGCAACCGCAACCGCAACCGCTGCGGTACAACCAGTCGAACTCTGAGTCAATCACAAAGGTGAGGAGTTAATTGAAGGTTTTTATTTATTTTTATTTTTATGGAAAGTTTACATGATATTATAAGTTTACTTAAAATAGCTTGTCGCCCGTAAAGTCATATGCTGACTCTCCTTTCATGTCAAAGGAAGTTTTTTTTTTTTAACAAAAGAAAAAAAACTCGAGAAAGTTTTGGATACAATTTACATTTTAACAAACAGAGCTTCACTTCTGGTCTGATCACACGAACCACTTGGGATAAACATCCACCAAACTGCACGTGCGGAAGAAGAATAATATATTTGATAATAATAATAATAATATTTGAGAAAGAAAAATGATAGTAGGTTTGATATTTACGTTAGGAAAGGCAAAAAAAAAAACCCAATATGAATAAATCCCTTACAAATTCAAACCAATCTTCTTTTTATTTTATCACGTTTAATAGCCGAATTAAATAAATTTGAAAATAGAGAGTTAAAAATTTAACTGAGAGAGAAAATTTGTAACGAAAACCGGAATTCATTTGAAAACAAAGTATTATTCAGCACAGTTGTCTTCGAACCGGAAAAACGAAAAGGGAAACCGAAATCCCTTTTCTAATTGGGAGGAAAGTACCCTCTTTTCCGCCATACATGAAGCTTCTCGATTCGTGCATCCGATCGAATTCAGCGCCCAATGATCGTCTCGTCGATGCCCTTATCTTCAAATCGCAGTTCAGAGGTGGGTTTTTTTTTATACAGCACAGGCTCATGGCCAGAGTGTTCGACGAAATGCCTCTGAGAAATCGTGTTTCCTTGATGAGTTTGAGAGTGATTTTGGTCGGATGTCTGAAAGTGATCAGCGTACATGGGACTTCATCCATGGTTGCTCGGTTTGCACATTAGGATAGGTTTGAAGAGGCTTTGCGTTATTTTGGATTGATGCATACGGAGGAATTTGTGCTTGATGAATGTGTTTTCGCCCCATTGCTTGTGCAGGTTTAATGGACATGAAAAAGGGTACCCAAATCCATGCTTTGGTAGAGATAACACAGGGTTTAGCAGATGTTGATATAGGCATTCCTCTTGTTGATATGTTTATATAGAAATGTTGTCTACTGGAATGATTTGGTTTTCATTCTACGAACAAAATGGTCCAGATGGAAGCTCTCAAGGTTTTCATCCTGATTTCGATGTCTGGATCTGAGCCAGATGAGCTTACATTTACAAGTATAGTCAGCGCTTCTGCAAACTTGTCCGCAATTAAGGTTGGCCAAGAGATTCATGGACGTGCTGTGCTGTTAAAAATGTTAAGTTGAGGGATGATCTTGCTCTCAGCACAATGTCTCTGTTCGTGGACATGTGTGCAAAATGTCAGAAAAACTAACACAGCTAGCTACATATTTGATGCCGACAGGGAACGTCCAGTCAGAAGCTTCCATGGTTAGTGGGTATGCTAAGGCTGCAAGCGCAATGCGGGCTAGACTTATGTTTACACGACGGAAAGAAACATTATGTCATGGAATGCACTTATAGCAGGCTATACCCAAACGGGGGTTAATGACGAGGCAATCAGTCTATTTCCCATCCTAAAGAGAGAATTAGTATGCCCAGCTGACTATACTTTTGGGAATCTACTAAATGCAGGCGCATATCTTATGGATCTACATCTTTGTATTGCAGACTCATCCTTGCTGAAGCATGGCTTTAAGTTTCAATCTGGTGATGGATCTGATTTATTTGTGGGTAATGTCTTGATAGACATGCATGTGAATTGTGGTTCTGTAGAAGTTATTTATCTAATATTTAGGAACTATGGAAATAGATCGTGTCTCATGCATCAAGATGATAGTGGGATATGCATAAAATTGTTGTGGAAATGAGGTTCTTTCTTTGCTCCGGGAAATGCTGGATTCTGAACAGAAACCATACCACATTACCATGATTGGCATTCTTTCTGCACGCGATTATTCAGGATTTTTGAAGCAGGAAGACACTAAATATGTAGACTGGACGTTTTCGTGGTGAAAGATGAAAGGCATCCTCGGAAGAAGCAAATACGCTGGCTTCGTAAGAATCTCGAGGTACATATGAAACAAGCTGGTTACATCCCTTATCTCGGGAATTATCAGGAACACGAGGAGCAGGTTGAGACAGAATCTGAATTGGATGACCAAATGGATCGCGCAGCTGATGCTGCTCACATCTAATCTTGTAAGTAACTTGCTCAGCTCTTTCTGTGTCATTTGTTTATTAACAGCGAACTGATCTGTTCTTTTATCTAAATCACTTAACGAAATAGAAACAGGAAAGCCAGTGAATATGATATAAAATCAGAGGAAAGATCTATTTGCAGGAGAAGACTTTTTTTTTCCACTTCTTTATTGAAACTGAGTTTTCTTCTTCGGAAGCTATACGAAGTAAATTATGAAACATGTGAACAAAACCTGTAATGCAAAGACATAGATCAAAGACAGTATTTTATCCATATCCTTCAAACTAGGGCGCCCTTGAAACTTCTTTGGGAGCACCTACACCTCAGGATCACATAGGAAATGAACCTGTAGACAAAGATGAAACAAACCATGATCACAACATTCCTCCATCGACTCTCCTCTGCATACCCTTCTTCTCTTAGTAGACCCTCCTCAGTGACGTGGCATTTCCCAAGAACGTACTCCAAGCACTTGCTTGACTTGGAGAACTCGTTTATCAGAAACCCTTCGAATGGATACTTGAACAGGGAGATGTAATTCATGAAAATCCAGTATCTGGGGATCTCGTGCTTCGATATGAAGTAGCCGGAGAATAGAAAGAACGAGCCCATGACACCGGAAATCACTGAGTTTCCGACGATGAAATTAGGAACCAGTGCACTAAAACACACGACAACTGAGTTTGCCGTGTAAAGAATCAACCAAATCAGCAACAGAAAGTACAGAAACGCCATGAAATTAGGGTTTAGACCCACCAACCAGTATACTGGGACTGTGAATAGGATAGCTAGGATGAGCAGAAATGGCAAGTAGACGAGTCCATTAGCAACTGCATATGACGATATTCTGTAGCTCCCACTAGAGGTCTCTTTCATTAGAATCTCCCTTTCTTGCAGAAATATCGGCAGTGCCTCTATTGTTGTAGTTAGCAGGAACGTCAAAATGAACGCACATAGGCCTACCCTTTCTCGTGCACCAACGATATCATCTTTAAGATTATGGAAAATCAGACCAAGAACAAATCCTGAAGCTAACATCTGAACCGCCCTGCAAGCAAACAGCTCCTTAGTTCTAAATATGTTTTTCGAGAACCTACGAGTGAGTATCATAGTCTCTTCTATTCTTGAATTTGCGAAATTTCTGGTGAATTCAGTTCCAACATTCATGGTTCCCTCGTCAGCAACCTTGGATTGTTGAAACAACTGTTGTAGTGTGGATCTGCCACTTCTGCTCCCCCCTTGAATCTCTTCTGATTTCTTTTGCTGTTGTGTTGTTGCTGATGTCAGGGCATGACCTACACTCCGTCCTTGCTGAGTCTTTTGCCGTTTGGTGATGGCTTCAATTGATTCAATGGCAAATTCAACGATGTTTACGTGGAGAGGAAGCTGCAAGCCGATTGACCTCAAGTATCCACCAAGCTGGTCCACAGAGCCTTGATGCAAGACCGAGCCATTGGCCAACAAAAGAACAGAGTTGAAGAGCTTGACTATACGAAAGCCCGGTTGGTGGATGCTCAGAATTATGGTCCGACCTCGGGTTTCAGCCATTAGTTTGAGCATGTTTATGATCTGCAGAGCCGAAGTACTGTCCAAGCCAGATGTGGGTTCATCAAGGATAAGAACTTTGGGGTCATGAATAACTTCAACTCCTATAGAAACACGACGTCTCTCTCCACCGGATATTCCTCTGACCCTATCATCACCAACCCGAGCCATCGCCACAGCTTCTAAGCCTAGCTCCTGCACCAAAGACTTGACCCGCGATCTCAGCTGATCTTCAGGTAGTTTTAAACGCAGCTTGGCACTGAACATAAGGGTTTCTTCCACGGTAAGCAAAGGAAACAGAGTATCCTTCTGAGTGACATAACCAGAGATTTTCTTGAACTTGGCTCTATCAACAGGTCGCTGGTTCACAAACACTGAACCCGTTTGCGGAATGACTTTAGCAGCAAGAATTTCGAGCAGAGAAGACTTCCCTGCACCACTCGGACCAACGATTGCGAGAATCTCCCATGGTTTCGCCCAGCATGTAACTCCTTTTAAGACATGCTTGATCTTGTTGCCTGTCTCTTCCTCAATCTTCCATGGCTCTTCAACTTTCAGCTTCTGATCATCAGTTTCTTGCTGCAGTTTCCGGGCAAAGATCGCGAAAGGGTTAACGTCTCTCGTCCTTGGAGAGATCTTGAAGTCGATATATGCAGCTTCTATCTCACACCCTTCCTTCTTCATCGGTGAATCACTTTGTTTCTCCACTTCTCCCTTCTCCCAAAGACCAATGCTGTGGAGTCAATAGTTTATGCGAAAGGACATATGGTACAACAAAAACCATGCAGTTCCTGAGGTTTTATTCCTTTTTTTTTTAATCTTATTGAATATATTATATTCATATACACATACATATATATACATGTATGTGTGTGTTGTAGGTCATATGGTTCAAAGATTAAGAGACAGCTCGGTTTCTGTAGCTTCGATTTGGATTTATGCGAAGGGAAATGAAGAAATGTTCTGGAATTTTGTTTACTACTTCCGTTCACGTGAAGTTGTTCTTCGGAGTTAGCTGTAATTTCCTTCATTGAGAAATCTAGATGGTTGTTGGATATTTCATATATTCCTCAAATCAATGAAAATAAAATAAAAATGTAAGCAGAAAAAAAGTTCTAAAAATAAACTTGGTAAATTAATAAAAATATATATTTTGTAATCGATTGGTCGAGTTTTTATTTATATTATTTCATTTTTTTATAAAAATTATAGTTGTTTAACAAATAGTTTTTATTCAATATTGTCTCACACGTAGGTTAAATCTAGATACTATTAGCATATAATTAGTGGACTATATAATTCGCGAGGTAGTAATCAAGAAATCATATATGAATTATTTGCCTAATTTTAGTCGAATTTTAATTATCCTTGGATTTTGCTTATGACTAAGCAAAGAACCAAAATCAACTAATTAACCAAAAGTGGAAAAAATAAATAAAAGAAGAAAGACTGTGGACTTGACTTTTTTTGCGTGGGTCCAAAATAATTTGTGGTCCGTATTGCAGCGAGTACTGTTTTTAGAAAACGAAATCAATTGTCCTTAATTAAGCCTTCATAAGAATTAAAAATATGTGGATGGATAAGTCATTAAATCAAATGTTTGGACCTACACATAATTTATATACAAATTTCGAAAAAAAATATTTAATTCGCCAAATTGTATAATACTTGGTAAGTGAGGATAATAGTAATAAAAATATATATAACTACCTTAATAGTATATTGTAGTTAGGTACAACAATATATACATAAATGGTTTAAAATATATGACATCGAGTTATCAATTTTTAATAGATGATTAAAAGAAATTATAACCATAAAAAATAATATATCAGATAATAATAATAATAATAATAATAATACATAAGATAGATCTATTTAAATTTTCTAATATTCTATTGTGAACCATTTTAATATTTTTTTTGTAAGATAAGATATGTGGTTTAAAATTTAAATACAAAAGTAATTAGTGAAATTGGATTAAAAATAGAAAAATGAAGATTATAATATCTCCATCACAGGTCACGAGCATATATACACACATATATGACAGTTTATATATATATATCTCACAATCAAAATATGTTTGCTTAAAAGTTTTGAGTTTGTTAGATTTTCACGCGGGTAGAAACAAAGAAGACTAGAGAGAGAAGATATTCCATGTGTGGTTGATATTTTTTTAATATAAATTTTTATCAAATTTAAGTAACGAAATTAATTTTTCATGGTCGGCAATAATCGAATTAACTTGCGGAAAACAATATATATATATATATATTCAATTTAAATTGATATTTTTGGTGTTTTTTTGTCGTGATGTGTCGCCCGTGAACTTTCCCACGACAGCATTTTGTTGGCATCTCTGTCTTTTCATTAGTCCCAACCACACACAAACACTACCGAACTCATTCACCAATTCTTGTAGCCCGTGAACCCTTTTTTTTTTTACCTTAGAAAATTCATATTTTCAATGGAATTCATTTAATATTCTCAAAATCATATTTATCCAATGCCACCATTTGTCATTATATACTTTATTTTATCAGTTTTTTACGATGAATTGAAATTATCAATCATGAAATATGTCGTGTGAATTTTGAAATATTCGAATGAAAGTTCTTTTTGTGTTTCATTCGGATTAAGATTAAAATAAGAGATACTATTTCAAATAGAATTATATCTGATATTAATTCTTAATTCAATGAAAAAATTAAATTGGGAGGATATTCAAAATATTTTAAATATAAATTTGGGAACAATTCGATTCTTTAACTAAGAGAGCACAAACAAAAATGTCACTTAGACGGCTAAAAATAGAAATATAAATATATACCCAAACCGGTTGAGAGAACCGGACAAACCGGACATTGAATCAATCACTCTAATATATGCTATAAAAGTCATCCTCAAAATAATAAGTTGAATAATTCATTTCTTATAAGATATTCCAATCGAGTGGACCAGATTTAACGATGAAGATAATTTCATTGTTATAAACGCTATTATTAATTATTAAGGCAAATACACACTATTATAATAGGAGCGCATATTGAATTAAATTTACTTGGGATGATATTTCTATTAAAAAGTCTTATAAAAAAAAATAAAATTCAAGATAGTAACTAATTCGACACTTAATTCTGGAGATAGTTTCGAGAAATTAGAACGTACATTTGAGTTAAGGATCACAATTACAATATAATATCTGCACATCATTATAGTTTAGGATATATCTAACATACCTATAAATTTAATCATATCGTATAATTGATCCAATTTAAAAATAATAACGATTACGATATAATATATATGTATATTAGTTCTTATATATTTCCATATCAATCAAAATTATAGATCTATAAGCTTCATCAGATCGTATAATTGATCCGTACAATACACAATAATTTAATTAACGTGGTGGTCCACGTTTGATTCGATTTGTTCCGCGGATACTAACGAGGAATCGAGGGTTATATATATATATATATATATATATGTGTGTGTGTGTGTCTATTTATGTATGAAATATTTGTCATTGTGTGTGTGGGCTTATGAATCTTTATATGGGCTTATTCAAAGCCCAATTAGGGTTTGGTGGAAAATTACTTAAAAGAAATAAAAAACTAATAAATCTTTCATTTTTTTTTAAAGAATTTATGGATTTTAAATAAAGATAATGAAATTTTGATGTAATATGCCCATGCTGCTTCCTATATTTCTGGCTTTAAAAGTTATTAATCACTAATCTAATACTAATATTCTAAAAATCTATCAGTTAATCGGGTAGAATAGCTTCTTAAAATGGCAAATCCGATAAACATAAACAATTATTTAAAAAGTGAATCTTTAAAATATAATATAAAATAACACTAGAATATGTATAACTTGAAGCTCTCGATTAAAATCACAATCCAATAAGCCGGTAGAAAGTATACATATATTCCCTTTAACAAAAAAAATTCATGCATATTACCGCAAAACTCTAACAAAAATATTAGGAATCCTTTGTTAAAAAAATATACATGGAACTACTAAATGTGTTTTAGAAAATATAAATATATGGTTATTAAAAAAGTTAATAAATCATTCGAATTTAAATCCAAACTTATGAATAACAAAATGGTGAAGTCATTCACTCAAATTACAGATTCCATCCTAATATTTATATCGAGATTTTTAATAATAATTTTTTAAGATGATATTTAATTATCTTTTGACCATTTCAATTTCTTTTAAAAAGGTATCCAAGGGTTCTTAAAATTTTTAAAGCTTCCTATTAAGGTTTTCATTAAAAAAATCCAAATAATTTTATATATTTATTAAAAGTTCTGGAAATTTATATTTTTATTAATTGTATGTTTTTAATTTAATTCTAAAACATTCTTTATAGTAATTTATTTTAAAATAGTTTTTCAGTTGAGATTGAAATTGATAAATACAATAATTTTTTTATTAGAATTTATTTAAACTTATAAACAGCGGAGGTTTTTATATTAAAAAAACCATAAACAACAACTAGAAGGTTGTTTTTTTTTTTAAAAATAAAACACAGCTCTAGTTTCAACCGGCATGCGTCAGACACAGCCCAGCCGTGGATAGAACGATGAAATGACGGGAATGCCCTTCATGTCGCTCGCTTTCTAATTAAATTCTTTTGTCGTGCTGAGACTTCGAATATCCAAAAAAAAAAAACCATCTTCTCCTTCCATCGGAGAATTTCTGCGTCTCCCCAAATCTTGGACTGTGACGACGAAGACAGTCATCGAAGCAGCGTGCGAGGAAGAGGAACTATAGAATACACACGCTGAGAAGAAGCGCGAGAGATTCAGAGACGATAGGCTCAGCGAGGAGAGAAGTCTTTATTTGCCGATCCATCGGAATGGTGGTGATTGATTAGAATCAGTTTCCAGGTATCTTTTTTGACGGATGATTTAGGGTTTTGATCTTTCAATTTGATTACGGTGTTAATTTATTTTTGACGATGATGTAGTATCGAAATACAAGTTATGTAGCGTCGACTTGATTTGGATTGCTATTCTTGATTGCTTTTTGTCCTTGTTCCCGCTATGAATTTCTTCGAATTGTTAGCTTTTGTAAGATAGGCAATCTTCGTACTAATCTTGTTAGAGGAATTGGGTTGGATTACGTGATCAGGATTTAATTCGAATGAATTAAAACTGGTCGTAAGGAATGACTTATTGTAGTCTGTGTAGACTGTGATAGTCTTCAAGTTAAAGCAATGCTTTTGGTTCCTTTAAGATACGCACCCTTGTTTAAGTTATGCTTCTGAATTCTTTGGTTTGTTTGCCTGCATTGTATCCACTTGTGTGATATTTCCTCTTCGTTCTTACAGAGTTCTATTTTGTGTGCGGTGCTTTCTAGTGTACTAGTAGGGTAGAAAGGTTGTTGTGGAGTGGTGCATCTCAATCGCTTTTCTCTGTGAAATTTGCATTGCTATTCTGAGGTTTTTGTTTTCCCCCCGATTTGAATATTTTGGAATTGTTAGGCATTGTAACATAGGCAAACTTGGTATGAATTCGGTTGGGTTAATAATTAGGATCGAATAATACTTGAGGGAATCTTCTGGTAAAGAATGGTTTATGGACTATGTAGGTTTGCAAACCAAGTACTGGTTTAAATAGCGAGTTGATGACAGATGGTGATGGGTGCATCAAACATTGTTAATCCTCTAGTTAAATCGATGCTTCTGGTTCTATTTAGATATGCACCCTTGTTGTAAGTGATCCTTCTGGAAATTCATTGTATTGTTTGCTTGCACTGAACCCGCTAGCATGATATAACTTCTTTGTTCTTAAGGTGTTCTGTTGGGCTGTTTGGTATAACACAGGATGGAAAAGTCATTATGCAGTGAAGGCCCTGCTGTGCTGCAGTTGCACAAATGGGAATCCTCCCAGTTCGAACCTAATCTGTCAGAATATCATGAGGGTTTTATATCTCCATCAAGGGAGGTGCTATTGCTACTTTCGTACCAATCTGAAGGTTTATTGCTTCCTCTGGTGGCAGGTAACAAGTTTTTTCTTGCATTCCTAATCATGTTAGTGTTGTTTAATTTCATAGAGAAGATACTGATAGTCTGCATTTGTCTGCATTCCCATTTCATTTTTTTACAGCATCTGGTGGGCCAGATTCAGAAAACAATCCATCTTCTTCTGGATCAGATGTAGGTTATGGTGATACAGGTTCTGTAAATAATTGCAGTTCAAATTGCAATGGTTCTTTCATCTTCGATGCAAAGTCTGTCACTTGGGGCGCTTGTGGGGATGCCTATAATCAGCATGAAGATCCTATATTTAGTGAATTTTTGTTTATCTCTGGAAACCATGGAGTTACAGTCCATGCGTTTTTCTGTTCCGATGATTCAAATGACAGACCTGAGTACATACCAAATGGCGAATTTAGACAAGGGAAGTGGGTTGAGTGGGGACCTTCTATGCTAAATCAGAAACTGGAACAGCGAGGAGAGTGTACTTTTGATGGTTCAAAGAGGTGGATGCAATCTTTTTTCACTGACATGGAAGTTATTGAATTTGAGGGTAAAATACAGTGGAGGTTCCCTGGGAAGTCATCATTTCCATGCTCTGCAAAAGTCGTTTCATTTAGCATGTTTAATGGTGGTGATTTACTTCTGTGGAATCATCTTTCTCATGGAAATTCCTTGCTTCGGAAGGATAGTCTACTGGAGAAAGTCCATCATACCCACGATGATGGTTTTCCATTAAAAGAAAATCCTGAAGCTGAAGTGTCATCCAGAAATGATGTCGTAAAGAGTTTGTATAGGTGCACCAAAGTATTCTCCAGCGATTCTCAATTTCTGATTGGGTTTGTTATAGCATTATATGACTCTGCAATTGTCTCTAAAAGCAACGAAAATCATAGAAATAGGGGTAAGAATGTTGTTGTTGTCGCTCAGCTGTTTAGCTGGGGAATGCGTTGGGTTTCCCTGTTGAAGCTTTGGGAATCAAATGTAGAACCAGCAGATGACTGGGCAGATTTTCGACTGACCGATAAACTTGTTATCTGTCTCAATGTTCCTGGTTTCATCTTTCTGTATGATGTGAAATCTGGTGATTGTGTTGCACACATGGACATTTTACAGACATGTGGGTTGGATCCTTTATCAAATTTGCAAGAGGCAGCTATGGACGCTAATCAGGGAGCTGACATTGTCAATGTTGTTCACTCCAAGTCCTTGTCTCACAGTGATGGTTACTTGAACAGAAGAAAGTTTAGGAAATTGGTTGTTGCTTCACATACATCGCTTATCGCTGCAGTTGATGAATATGGTTTGATATTTGTAATATGTGCTGGCGAGCTTGTTCCAAAGGAGTGTCGTTGCCATATGCCCATGGAATCGATTCCCAGCTTTCATCATTTTGGGCTTGGTACCTTGGTTGGCTGGAAAGTCGGTGGCATGGACATAGGCTATCAAAGAGCGTTCCCAGATTCTTATAGGTCTCGAGGTATAAATATATTTTCAGAATTGGATCCTAACTTTGCTGCATCAGGTACCATAGTGTCTGATGCGTGTCAGGACGACCAACATAGCAATTTTGGTTGGAGAGCCAGTGGCTTTGTTTCATGGAGGAATGCTTCTTCTACTCAATCTAAAACCAATTTCCATAGGCATGGAAATTTGAAAACAGAGTCTCATCTCATGCGGAAGACAATTCTATGCACAGACAAACTAGGATTGGATGATAACATATGCTTTTCTCCACTGGGGTTCACTCGGTTCAGTAGAAAGCATGTCGAAAAGGGAAACCAAATTTGTAAGATTATTCATTTTAGTCTACAGACGATTTTGACTGTTAAGGATGATAGTTGTTTGCAGTATGGTGACAAAAAGTTTTCTAATGGAGTAGAAGAGGCTTTTACTGAAGAATCAGTTGGTTGCTGTTTTCACGGTTTTCTTTACTTGGTGACACGTAGTGGTCTTTCAGTTTACCTTCCTTCCATGTCAATCACCTCTAATTACCCAACTGTAGAGACCATTGATTATCTGCAGCCAATCTACAAAACAGTCACAAGACTTCAGGGAGGAGATTGTTTTGGGACAAGGGAAACTGAGTTTCCTTGGCAAGTTGAGGTGATAGATAGAGTTATCTTGTTTGAAGGCCCGAAAGCTGCAGATCGTGTTTGTTTGGAGAACGGTAAGAATGTTTGAATCTATCATTGCATTTCTAACACAAGATCACACATAAATTATTCCATCAACTGCATATATGGTAATTACCTTGTTCCATATTTTGAATTGTTCATTCATGATATACCTAAGACTGTATCCATCCATTTGTCCAACTTCTGTAGATATTAAAAATCTATCATTTGTGTGAGACATAATTTATATTGCTGAAAAATTAAGTTGTTGCTAAGTTAGTTTGGGATTATGGTTAGCTTCACATGTCGAATGCTTGAGGAAGTGTATGTTGAACATGAAGAAAAGCATAACCAAGGCTCTTGTAAGAGATCTAGCAACTGATTGTTGAAATAATGTTGGTGTTTGTGTTTATTTTAAACACCCCTAGCTACTTATAGGCATAGCCAAACGCATGCGCAAGCGCACACACACATACACATACACAGCCCACACGGAGATTCCAGTTCCTTATATTCTCCAGCAATTACTGCAGAATTCTTGTAGATTGAAACATGCAGCGATATTGATCTGACTTATATTGGCGCTTAAGTTATGATGGATATGCACTTGAGTTGTGGTGGTATGCTTATGGTTTTGTTGTATGAATTGCTGTTGTTGCAGGTTGGGACCTGAAAATTTCTCGTTTACGTCGTCTGCAAATGGCGTTGGACTACTTAAAATTTGATGATATCAACGAGTGAGTTGCTAGAGTGTGTGCATGCATGTGTGTATGCTTTTTTACATTATGTTTCTTGGTCAGGAAACTGACCTGATTTGAGAACTGTACTTTCCTAACAAGTATTGTCTTTCGAGAATCAAATTAATTGCAAGAGAATTTGGTGTATATCTGTCAGTTGGGGGAATTGGGTTGAAATTGTGGGTTGTGTTTTTCAGTTGTTTTTTGAAGGATGCCATCTATCTAGAGAAAGTTGTTACGAACAAATGTGACTACTATTATGACAAACTCCTTTCGTTTTTAATTTTGCCATTGTGTTATGTGTTTTTACTTGATTTCATAAAATTATTTGTTGTCGTAACTTGCATTTACCTTTCCTCTTGACTGCACATTAATAGTCGATCTTTTATTTCTGCTTCGCTTATAGTTTCATGAAAATTACTCTGTAATTATTTTCGCCTTAAATTTTTATGGTGGCACTAGGGTACATTTATTCTGAATATATCAGTCGAAACTCTCTTAGGAATTTGATAATGTTATCAGCAACGCTTCCTCGAGGATGTTTTCCCTCTTTTTGCCTAGTGTATTGTGCTTATCTTAAAGATCTGATTTTGTATTACTAATTATGATTGATCTATTCTTTTTGGTTAGGTCCCTGGAGATGCTTGGTGATGTAATGCTAGCAGAAGAAGGTGTTTTGAGATTGCTTTTTTCTGCGGTTTATCTGTTGTCGCACAAGAAGAAAAGTGATAACGACATTTCTGCTTTATTTAGGTGAGGATCTTCTCGCTAATGATGGTTTTAGGATAATTCTATTTTCTATTTAGATTCATCAACACGGTCTCAAAACAGTATTTTCTTTCCAGCTAGGTGGTGAGTACAACATCCCTGACTTATTAGCCTGTTGTTTTAAAATAACTAGCATGCTGTATACAATAACACTGATTTGAGATATGCAAGTGCCCTTTGCTTCTTAGATATGTGATTTTAACGTGTCTATTTGCTTTGAAGAATGCATAACCCATAGGTACGAAGATGTTATGATGCATATATAAAACCACATTGTCTATTCACTTTCTGTAGCCCCTTATTGTCGCAGTTTAAATAAATTGTTGATAATTTTTCTTCTATTATGTCACTTCAAATCTTGGAGATTAAAATTTGCTTTGAAGAATGTGTAACCCATAGGTACGAAGAGGTTATGATGCATATATAAAACCACATTGTCTATTCACTTTCTGTAGCCCCTTATTGTCGCAATTTAAATAAATTGTTGATAATTTTTCTTCTATTATGTCACTTCAAATCTTGGAGATTAAGGGTATGCTCAGATTCATATGAGAGCCCCAAGTGCTGAAGTTCAGTATTTCACTCCTCTTTGTGGACACCATATTGTGCTTTTTTCCTTTTGATCAATGGGGTGAAAAAAATTAATTATGTATATTTTTTATTCAAAATATCCTTGAGATAGTATTTTCTTTCATTGACATTAAATAGTACTTAAAAAACCTGAACGTTATATCATGTTAGATACTAAAATGATTTCATGTGGCATATTCAAACTTCTATCATTTGCTAAATGCAGGTTACTTGCAATGGTTACAAGGTTTGCTACTAAAATGATTCGAAAATATGGATTACTTGAATATCAAAAAGGTGGATTCACGTCGCATTGCCAACGTAGAACACATATTCTCTCACTTCCTCCGATTTCTGCGTATCAAGAGGAAATGGAAAGTTCGAGAAGGTTGTCTGAGATGTCTTACCTTTTGGAGGTTACCCGGAACTTGCAACACCGAACTGCCATAAAATTTAAGAAGCTAGGAAAGGTACAATATGATACTGACAATTTGTGTTGTGATATACTCATAGTTACCCTAGGTTCTATCATGTTGCTTGTGAAGGCGTGTTCGTGCTAGAACTTGAGAATGTCTGTCTATTGCACAGGGAGACAATGAAAAGTCGCTGAATCTGGTTGATCCAAATTCATTGCATGATGATTCTCAGCTGTCAATTGTTCCTGGGAATGCTGCCTCTGTTGAATCAATACACGAACAGGGTGCTTATGTCTCGAGTAGCAATGAAGAGCATGCTCTGATGCCTATGGATATGACGTCCTCAAAAGCTCACTGGGCCCATGGTGGGTCAAGTGTTGTGTCTGACCTTGTACCTCAAGGACCGTGTGTTGAAAATAAAGTTCTGCCCCTGGAAAATCCCAAGGAGATGATGACTCGTTGGAAGAGCAATAATTTGGATCTGAAAACTGTAGTTAAGGATGCCTTGCTCTCTGGCCGACTCCCTTTAGCTGTTCTCCAACTTCATCTTCAACATTCGAAGGAAGTGTCTGAAAATGGAGAGCAACATGATACTTTTACTGAAGTTCGCGATATCGG